TGAGACTGGTGTCTGGGCTGTAGGAGATGCTCAGTTATTACAGGCAGTTACAAAAAGTTGATTGAGGACTTCACAAGCTTGAAAGAATAAAAAGGTAATCAACGATAACATTAGTGATTGAAGATGAACGCTGAAAGTGGTTCATCACCATCACTGAAACCAAAACTGTTTCCTAATCTTTTTTGATATTATTAACAATATATGTGATCATCGTCCTGTACGAACATTTTTTTGAAAAGTTTTGCTACAGAAATATTGTAAAGAACATAAAGATTACCCAAAGCGGAAAATGTACCAACACCAACACAGAGTGTCTTCTAAGGAAATCATCTGAAGACGAATTACGAAGAACACCATGATGATAAGTAGGAAACGTCTCTGAAATTGAATAAAGAGATAATATGAATAAGGGAGATTTTCCATGATTTGTAAACCATGATCCAGTAAAGATGCAAGTTTTAATGCCTTCTCAGTAATTATACGTCCAGCTGATAAGATTATGTGGCTGGGAACCAATACCACTACAGATACTTGAAAGTCTCTGATGCATGTTGGCAGAAGAAAACGATGGCTGGTATATAAAAAATATGGCATATTTGTTCTCGTGAAGTAACTTTCTCATTGTGATCCATGCCAAGTCAGCTTTAGGAGTGTAGGTTTTCGGGACTGAGTGAATATTATTCACGTCGTGCAGATTGTGGCATTACACGATGAGGAACTAAATGGATGACCCTGAAGATGACATTTGGATGCCGGTAAATAAAGACAGCGTTCGATTTGACTCCACTGGCCCAGAGAGATTCTGACGTGGGTTTGTAACAACTTTGGCTATAATTATTACTATCAAAATATCTCAAACCAGCTCTGGTGCATTTTCTTTCAGTGGTTTTAATTCGTCAAATCATTATGCTTACAATTACTTTGAACTAGCGTACCATATTCAGAGATAAATATGAAACATTTTTCATATAATAATAACGATCTAGATTTAGTGTAATTGAACTTGAGATGCAATGTGCCCAGTAAAGTTCAAACTAGTGATATACCTTAAGCCGAAGACATGAACATTGTTGAAGAGTTTCAGCATATGGTTGTGTTAAAAGAAGATTTAGGCCCCGATAAATAAAACTACTTTTATTATCGCTTGGTGACAGATTTTATGACAGCCTATTTGTATAACCTGTTTATGTCTTCCTAGATGGTCACTGAAATATTACTCCCTACGGTAGGTGAGAATGAATGAAACTTGATTCATCAGAAAATAATATATATACATTATATTTCTTGTTGAGATAAAAAAATCTCAGCTCGTCCTATATAAGTTCCTGTCAAGTTCTCTACTTGATTAACGCAGAATACAACACACAACTAATGACACTCTAACGTATAGAACCCCCTACAGTCACTAATCAGAAGACGTAAGAAAGCGGAAGAAGAGATTGTTAGGTGAGGACCAAAAATGTACGGAAAAATATGTTTATTTATAGGTATTAGTGTTGGTTAACGTATCACTATAATTCAGCCGATCCGCAAGGAAGCAAGTAATGCTACCGTCCAATCTTAGCATACCATGTTAATATTCTAGAAAGTACTACCAGGCTGTGATTGAATGAAAACACTTCGGCTCCTTTAGAGCCTTTGAAGGCTTCTTCGTGCTTGCAGGAAGCCGTTCAAACAGTTGTAACGTGGTGTCGAGTTGAGGTTAACTATGAACACCGCTACCAAGAAACACGTGCCAAGCGAATCAGAAGGCGAGGGTTGGACGTAACCAAATAGATCCATAAAATCCCCGAGAAGCCAAATACCAGAAGGCAATTAATGGACCAAGTCGATGTTTATTTGTTGGCGATCTCGTGGCATCGAAAGGATACCGAGATCGTGCCAGGATACAAGCTTGGTTACAGAAGGTAACCGAATTCGCGCGAAGTTACAATCAAAGTGTAAGTAAAAGAATGGAAGCACAAAATAGCTGTCATTAGCACAGTCAAACAAAAGCACGTTAAAACAAACACTGGTACAGTTGGTTATAATAATAATTGTTTTTATTAAACCAGTCGTGTTCTCGTGATAAACGTGAGTCACTACATAGTTCTTCACTCGTCTTAAATAAGTTGGCTTATTAGGTTCAGAAAAGAAATCTTTTATGTTCTTTCTTGACTCTGATGCCTTTTTAAATTAAATTCATCATGAAATTGTTGTACGTCAAATGAGTTCTCCCAACTATTTATATATGTGAACCACTTCTGATTAATGTATTGGTGATCGTCGTGCGATAATACAACTTGGTTTGGAAGCAAATTGACTTAGCACTAAATCTAGTGGTAGAGTGGCAATGGAATAACACTGAAAAATCAGCACTAGTGAAACATGAGGGTGAGCCATCACTAAGTTAAATAACGGGAAAATGGACGTTGAATATCCAGTGAAAAATAGTGTAGGCCAATAAAAGTTGAATTCCGAGGTTCCATGGCTCAGCTGTGTCTGTATATTAAATATATTATTCTGTTATTAAAATTGTTTTTGATCTTCAAAGTTTTGTCTGAAATAGCAATATGATGATTAGGAGTATTTGAATTATAGTACGAACTAAGAATCCCAGAAATAACGTAATTGGATCAAGAAGTACTAGATAAGCACAAACGAATGTGCCGTATTTGGAATCAAGCAGGCAGCAAGTACGAAGGAATCATTAGTTCATTCAAACACCACAAGCACATCCGGCTTCCACAACACATCAAGTCAGGATAGACAACAATGTGAATTCAAAGTAAGATCATATAGATTAGGTTGACTTGTCATGACAAGTCAATTTTAATAAACTATGTCTATTGACCTTGTGGTGTAATTAAGATGCATTTTTACCAATCAGAAACATGAAGTCCACGAATAAAATTTCTTTGTATCCTGTTTTGTCTTCACCCAAACTTTAGTGCTAGTTTATTCGCTATTACTAAAGTCAGGCAAAAATTAAAGTGGTTAACACAAATCTGTCAAACGTTGAGATGAGCACTAAAATTGAGAAATACATAATAACCTACCTGACGAGACGTAACAATACGGATAATAACTAGTGAAAATGAGTAGCTTTGTACGCCTTTACGCTGATTCCGACTCCATTAGTTTTTTATATAAATCATTTCACCGCTACCAGTCAACCATGAAATTCGTAAAATTATGGTCCAGTTCGGTATTGGTACTACTATAACGACAGACCTATCCCCAAAATTGTAAATTTCTTATGGTATGACTACCTACCACTACAAGTCTAGATTTAGGGTTAGTCCGTGTGAAGTGTCCTATGGTGTTAGTGAAATAATAGTAAATATTAGCCAGACTAGGGTTTTACGTATCACATTTTTCAGCCCTGAAAGACTGGTAATGGTTTATCGAAAAAGGAACGACTACTTGTGCTTTCCTCATTCTGAAGGACTCAGTTTAATCTCTTAGGTATAACATTTCGACCTATACACATACGGTATTTACACTCCGCTAGCACTGTCCACAAAAACAACGTTATCAACAGACTGGTGTCAAACGGTGTTTTCAAGAAAACTCGTTAAATAGTATTTTACCTAATTTTTTATACGAAATAGTTGTGGCTTCGATATGAGCTGGTAGCAATTCTCTGGCCAAAAACTGCGTGATAACACGGTTCCTGTGTGTTATCACACTCTTTTGTAAACACAGTTAATGAACTTCGCTAAATCTAATCTGAACCACAAGCACAACTGCGCTGTGTAACGTTATATAACTTTTCGGCTCGAACACTATGCAACGCGACACTGGTCGCCGAATGTGTACGGACAGAGGAATGTTGAGTTTCGAACATGTTAATCAACAAATATAGGCATTATTGAAGCTTACAGAAAAAGAATAAATTTTTTACGTTGTACCACTGTGGTCACCCATGGAACGTTCCCATGCATACGTTACCTGTAACGAAAATTTAACGAAGTGCACACAGTGATTGTAGTTTAAGTGAGATAAAATTTAGCAGTTGTAGGTACTACTTAAAAGGATATTGCTTCAAAACAAGATTGAGCAGTTACGTGCATTGGTCTTCAAAAGTCACCTAATTAGTTCTGATTTCTAACTGTCGACCCTGACAAACTGCAGTCAGTGAACGTTTCTTGATTGGTTTTCTGAAATAAAGTATAATGAATCGGCTTGAACAGTACTCAATGTCACTTCAGAGGACCTATATTGAAGGGCTCATTCGTCAATGAACTGTGGGACATAATGAATATGAACACGAATGCAAGGCAATCCTTGCCGATGACAGGCAAGTTTGTTCTAGAGTTAGCTAAGACCACTTACAGTCCCGTCTGGTGGAGTTGTAAAACGTAAACACAGTCGATGCAGTCAACCGATTTAGAATTGTAAGCCATTTACAGAAAAACCTGAAACGTTGCAGGCTCTTACCCCAAGGCTACACAACCCAATGACAATATATACTGACTCACTTCAACTAGGAAATACATAAGACCTAAACAATAAACTACAAACAATCCCAAACGACAGATAGATCGCAACATTGTGCACCATGCACACAAGTATAACTCTCTGACTAGCGATTCAAAAATTACAATCATGTTATCTCAGTTGATATAACTTTGCAGGTGTATTGCCAGTCAAACTGTTACTGATAGTTGACTAAATCTTGCATAGTCATTGATATTATGGTGAAAATAGACCTTACGAGTCCTTGGTAATACTAAAGTCCAAAGACTGAAGTGACTACATGACATTCTGGACTACAAATAAAATGCATTTACTTGTCATTAACAAACGTCTTTTAAACACCTGAACATTCTTGGGAGCAAGTTTAAATCAGATAACTCTCGAAGTGAACACTACTGAACCCAACCGACTGAACTACGTCGTAAAAGGCTAATCTGCCTTAATAAAAAGTGCGAACTTAGTTACGCTAAACACTTCTCTTCACCAGTCTCTAATAAATTACAATTCTGATTTTACGGTACCTGATAGAACAACGTAGACGCGATAACTAGGAAATTGTATATTTGATTAAGAACGAATGAACAACATGTGGATGATATAAAAGAACTTCAAGACAGTAGAACCAAATAAATGGACGTGTAATATTGAAATGCAGATAATTAAATGGAAGATTTTGAGTCAGCGGTAGCGCGGCGAGTTCGCTTGGCCGGAGTACATTCTGACTCAACGTTTAGTGCTTCTGCCGCGAATTCCTGTGTTTTCATGCCATTTGCTACAGAACTAACATTAAGAGATGAATTATTTTGTTGCTTCTTATCATCAGCTGAACATTCGACTTCGGAAGTATCCTGACCTTGTGAAACATCGGGATTTTGTTCTCGTTTACCACCTGACTGGACAAAATCTGAGTTGTGAGGCGAATCCAGAGGTTCCATACCAAGAACCTAGAGAATTGGTTGTAAATAAACAGTAAAAAATTGGAATGCAAGGTCCATCTGGATTAGCGAAAATAAAAGCCTGGTTAATTTGTCTTAGCTAATTAACTGTCTCCTTTTAACTCACTGTTAACAAAATACAACTTACCACTTTCTATATTTATCCCTTAACACAACGGGAGGTAGACGACTGGTGTTGGACGACAATAGTATACTATTAATATTAACAATTAAACACAAAAGTTACAGACAAAACGTGCTTGAACAGCTTAATATATCTTCAGATCGGAGTGAAATCGATCTTTAGAGATAAAAGTCTAAACAAATCGAATAAGTAATTTAAAACGCATGACAACTTGCTGGTGTAGAATGCATAAGAACCCAGTGGTGAATTAAGACACGTATACACAAAAGCTACATATACAAAGCGATAGTATAACATAGTAAAACCTAACAGTGATATAAACAAGTGTGTATTCTAAGGTGATTGCTTTCGAAAGGAGATGATCGTTTATTCATTGAAGTTACGTATAAGAAAAACAATCCTAGAGCAGGAATAAGAACACTTACCTTGTATAATTGATTAAAAGCAATTTGTCTGACTATTTGTTGGGCTGAAACAGTTATTTTTTCACAAACTTCATCTGATATTCCATTAGAAATTGTAACATAAAATGGTTTTGTACACGCCACAGGTATATTGTTCTCCCTAGGAGAATCCTCAGTGTTATTTGAATTAGATGAATGTTTTATTGCAAAGAACAAATATCCATTTGCCATTGATTCGAAAAATCTACGTAGTAATTTGCAAGGATGGAAAAAGTCACTTGGTACAGAAAGCATATTTCTCGGTGACCCACATTGAGATGGGAGGAAAGTGGAACCAGAACGAATCACCATATTGTACTCTAAAGATAAGAGGTGATCTAAGTGTACTTCAACATCCTAATAAAATAAAAGACAATAAATTATTCAGTCCACTAATGAACAACCACTTTAAAACGAAATAATTTAGATATTAAACAGAGAAATTTATTACTTTTTAGCAATCCACTCGATGAAACAGTATTTAATACAATATATCAGTCCAGTTGCAAATACAGAAAGCTGGGATCAAATGAATATGTATAAATGACTGGTTATACTGGGAAAAATTAGGAACAGTTAAGAATTATACTGAGAGACTTTATATGCACGAGTAAATCCATTCTTAAAAAAGGAACTACATAAAAATGGAACTGTTACGCGTAAAGCAGAACTAAATGAAAACTTACAAATTCATTTAATTCGATCCAGTATTCATTAGATTGGATAAAGTCGCGTAATATACGACTAATTAAGAGTATCGGACCTCCGCTTGCAATATGCTGAATGGGAAACATAAATGGTTAAAATCAAAATATGATATGAAAATAATCATCAGAACATTAAAAAAACCCATCTGAAATTTCTTTTTGTCCAACCACTCCAGATCTTCAAACAGACTAAGTGAAAAGTGAGTGATCCTGTATGTGTTTTGGAGAAACAACATAAAGAGATAGTGAGAGATCATATGGTCCTGGCTAAGAAAGCCTATTGTATTATTTGACATGAGGTTCAAACATGTAGTTTCGAGAGTGGTTTCAGGAGACTAGGAATAGCGTTTGGTGAACTCGAATGGTCAGCACAGGTAGCGTATGAAGACAAAGAGAATGGTTGACCATGGACACATCAGAAATATTAGGAAGTTAGAGCGGAATTCGATCATGAATACTGTGATATCAGATGCTGTTAGAACTAATAGAGAGGTTGAGATATGCAAGGTTAAACTGAGAGCATCTAAAATTTTACTTCTAAAAGAAAAGTACTAAATAACTTGGAAAAAGTAACTACTTTTTCAGACAAACTGAAATACTGAAGCACTTACTTGAAACCATGAAGCATGATCAAGAGCATCTATGGATTTGATGCACTTTTCTTTGGGAATTGGATGACCATTAACGATCAAACGTTGGACAACTGGTGGGACTTCTACACAAGGGAATAAGAACTATGTATATAATCACAACGACTAAAAGCGACAAACATAGTCAACATAAATCTCCATGAACAACATACAGAATAAAATAGTAGAATAAATCAACAATATACACATTCAGTACAGTGAAAAATAAAGACAAAGGAAATCACAGAGGTGATCGGCTGAAAAGACTTAGTAAAATTTTTTGTATTTAAATGTGTGTTGGGGGTTTAGAGACAGAAAAACTTATCATCAGTTCCAGATGAGTACATATATACAGTGTAAATATCCAAAGGACACTTACACGTTTTTGTCTCATTTTAAAATTATAATTGGTTAAATTTTATTAAAGACTAATTCTATATTTATTGACTAACTGTATGAGCGAATGTCTTCACATTGCCCTATGCACAATAAACCACTAACTCCTATAACCTAATTTACTATTCACTGATATCTGTTGGTTCATTTACAAGGGTTTCAAGTATGTCGTTAACAAGTATCCTGAATAAAAAGATTTAAAAGCCTACATAAAGTCACTAGAACTGCTACTAACAAAATGTGCCCATGATCAAAAGGAGAGTCAAAACCATAAATCGACTTAAAGCATTGGAGGAGAGTTTAGCGTTCAAACTGAGTAACAAGACATTTAGTGACAATTTCTAATGACATTTAGGATATTAGATGGAAAGGTTTAACAGACGCTGATATATTTTAGAAATTTCCATCAGTGGTGTTTTTCAATCAGGCAACGATGATTCACCTGTGTGACTACCAGATGAAGAAGGCGAAATATGATGGTGTACCGTGACTTCACAATGGTACTTATTAAGTCCGTTACATTTCATGGAGGAGTATAGTCCACCCACCAGCATTCTCCATTGAACTCTGTCCCGAGCAATCATTTTCAGTTGCTATTCATCCTTTGATGTCTGCTTACAATTCTCGTCTCAGCGTGTTCTTTGACCTTCCTCTTTCCTGGTTCCCATCAGGATTACAAGTTAGAGCTTGCTTCGTGATGCAGTCTGATGATTTCCACAATGTGTATCCTATCCACCACTCCTATTGTTCTTCCATAATTCCCTCTTCAGATGGAAGTTGGTTTGTTTTCTCCCACAATAGGCTGTTACTGATTGGTATCCGGTCAACGGACATTCAGTATCTTGTGCAGACAGTTGTTTATAAATAATTGCACCTTTTTTATGATGTTGTGGTAGTTCTCGAAGTTTTGGCTCCATACAGCAGAACTATCTTGACGTTCGTATCGAAGATTCAGACTTTGATATTGGTTGACGGTTGTTTTGAGTTCTGTATGTTGTTCAACTGTAGAAATGCCGCCCTTGCTCTGCTAAACCTCGCCTTTACATCTGCATCCGATCCTCATTGTTCATCGATGGTTCTGACTAGGTACGTGAACTCTTTCACCTGTTCCAGGGCTTTTCCATGAAGTATGATTGGGTTGGTGCTCTCCATGTTGTATTTGAGGATGTTGTTTTTTCCCTTGTGTATGTTGAGGTCTACTGCTGCAAAGGCTTCTGCTAAACTGGTTGTCTTGACCTGCATTCGCTCATGTGTATGGGATAGAAAAGTCAGGTAATCTGAGAAGTCCAACTCGTCTAGTTGTATGTAAGCTGTTCATTGTACTCCTCAGACATAGAGGTCTTCATAATCCAGTCAACCACCAGAAGAAAGGGAGACAGTAAGCCGCCTTGTCTGACTCCGACCCCTACTCAGAATGCGTCTGTCAGCTGTCCTCCATGCACGACTTTGCAATATAGTCCGTCGTATGAATGCCGTATGATATTGACGATCTTCTCAGGCACATCAGTGTCGACGAATGTTCCATAAGGTTCACCTACCCACTCTGTCAAACGCCTTTTCATAGTCAAAGAAGTTGATATACAGTGATGAATTCCATTCAATTGATTATTAATAAGAATAATATATTCGTAATATCTGATTGGGGTATTACAAATATGATATTTTTATTGATAAAAATCTTCCCAATGCTCAATTTATTGGAACTTATAAAGTCAAACCTTGATAATGATATCCACAAATTCGATTGATTGTTCAACAATGATCCATAATGTCGCTATTTGGTTTGTGCACGACCGATTCTTACGGAATCCGGCCTGTTGATATCTTCATATTCAGTGTTGTCCACTTTGACCTTGGGCGTTTGCATCTTGCATCAGGCTGGTTAGTTCCTGAGCAACTTTCTCCTATCGACTGCAGCCTCAGAAAACCGGTTTTTATCTTCTTCATTGCTATCATTGGTGAATGTATTGGACTGGACAATATTCATTATGATCACCTCCTTTGTTTTAAAGGATGCTTTGATGAGCTTGGATTCATGAGATTTTCATCCTATAAGTGCTTTTCGTGCTTCTTTGGACAGCATCATAACTCACTGAGTGTGTAGAAAATTTTCTTCTTCGTGACCGAAGTACAGCAGCATCTCTTCCGAATGTGTTATTTGTTGTCTAGCTTGGGTCTAATGTGTTTCACTGATTACGAGAACCCTCAAGTTGTATCTTCTTATTTCCGTAGCAATTAGGTTGATCTCCCCGGTCTCCTACGTTGTCTGAACATTGCATGTACCTATGAAAATTGTTGCTCTGGTTGTTAGAAAGGGCATCGGTTAAACGACTTCCGAAGAATCTCGGCTTTCAACAAGAGGTGTCATAATTCTTGTGAAAGAAGATCCTTCAACTCTTAAGGCGGAATTTAAATGATTTTTTCTGGTTAGCGTTTTGTAGACAGATTGTTTACTATGGGACGGGGTTGCTGATCCAATACCTAGCCTTCTTCCTTTACACGGGCTTGTAACCGGCACTAACCCTAGAAGAGCTACAGGAGGAGTGGCCGTTGAGGGAATTGAGATATTTGTAATATTTTCTGAGTCAGATCCAGAATAACTCTTACTTACTTACACCTGTTACTCCTCGTGAAGGAGCATAGGTCGCTCACCAGCATTCTCCATCCAACCCTGTCCCAAGCAATCCTTTCCAGCTCCTTCCAGTTGTAATTCATCCTTTTCATATCTGCTTCTATTATCCGACGCAATGTGTTCTTTGGCCTTCCTCTTTTCCGCTTCCCTTCAGGATTCCAAGTTAGAGCTTGCCTCGTGATGCAGTTTGACGATTTGCGTAATGTATGTCCTATCCATTTCCATCGTCTTTTCCTAATTTCCTCTTCAGCTGGAAGTTGGTTTGTTCTCTCCCACAGAAGGCTATTGCTGATGGTATCCGGCCAATGGATGTTGAGTATCTTGCGTAGACAGCTATTTATAAATACTTGTACTTTCTTGATTGTGGTTGTTGTAGTTCTCCAAGTTTCAGCTCCATACAGTAGAATTGCCTTGACGTTCGTATTGAAGATTCTCACTTTGATATTGGTTGAAAGTTCTTTTGAGTTCCATATGTTCTTCAATTGTAGGAATGCGGCCCTTGCTTTGCCAATCCTCGCCTTTACGTCTGCATCTGAACCTCCTTGTCTATCGACGATGCTTCCCAGATATGTGAAGGATTCTACATCTTCCAGAGTTTCGCCATCAAGGGTGATTGGATTGCTGTTCTCCGCTTTGAATGTGAGGACCTTGGTTTTCCCTTTGTGTATACTGAGGCCTACTGATGCAGAGACTGCTGGTAAAAAACGCTTACCAGATCCAGAATAACTCAATCACCTATAATTCGAAACACAGGTTTCTATAGTGAGCTTGATGATGACGTTGTCAAGAACGACAATAAAAGTTCCACAATCAAACTTTGTAGCTCAAAAGACTTAACAAGAACACTAGAAATATGCTTTTATTGTTGTTTATTTTTCAAACTATCGTTAAATGAAATGACGGTGAAACATATTTCTCATTTTTATACTTGTATATTTCTGCTGAACCGGTACAGAATGAATCATTATAGTAATTTGGCTTTACAGGTCGTTATGATAACCTTTTTTCTGAGATAATTTCCTAATAATACTAAGAAATGTATTGAGGTTGATATGAAGCATATACGAGTACATAAAACTAGTGCCTTATTGTTCGTCGCTGTATTTCACTCGTTTACAACATAAATATCTATAAAACAGTATGTGAACATGTTTCAGGGATGCAAAATGTATAACTTATGTTTCCCACCTAGGTAACTGATAGACGTAGGAACTGTCGAACGCCAGGTAGAAAAATAAAATTGCATACAATGATTGTGAAAAACGTATTTTTAAAGACAGAATATAATTACCATTTTTATCTTCAGGAGCGGCTTCATTTTTTTGAACTACTATCGGGGAAGTTAAGTTGATTACCAGTGTTATAGTAGGCCATATCGCAGATTCGTTTTCTTTGCAAGCAGGTTTTAAATTTACTTCACAGGTGTCACTTTTATTCAGTAAGGATGGATCTGGACAGGACACAACGACCGTAATTGTTCCCATAGTAGGCTCTGCTGTGACAGTATATTGAAGACGGGATTCCAGTGACTGTATGAAAAAAATCAAGCCAACATATTCCAATCACAACCCAAGATCGATACCACCTTCAGGTTCATTGAAAATATCTCACAATAAAGAGATTTCTGAAGTTCACCCTAATGTAATGAACCTGCAGGATATATCGACTAGGGTTTTCAGAAAATTCTTGAAAACTTACAAAAAACTAATCGTAATTTGGGTAGTCTAACATAGATCTAATACACCTTTAACGAACGGGCTAAATTATACTTACCAAATGTCTAGTAACTATATTTGAGAATATTAGCCCAGAGTTTTTCCACGACAAAGTAGTAATTTTTTACCAATGATCACAATTCCTGCACAAGTCTAATCCCGCAGATCCAATTATTTCATAATGACAATAATGGAATGATATTTTTATGTCCTAGAAAAATACAAGTTATGTGATTTGGCAGAAGAGGACCGTATACAATGACGACAGGAAGTGGCTTTAGCGGATAGCGAATGATATACAGGAGGCGAAACCAATAAGACGGTAAGCTAAGTTGAAGGTCAGTTATTGAGACCAAAAATTAGTTTTAGATAAATGTCAGCGACATATTATTAATGAAGGTATTTAGTGTGCGAAAAACTTTATGAAAAGAGATTTAAAAAGATATAGTCAGTTACGTTAAAGATGGCGGGCAGGTGTAACTAGAAACCAGTAAGACAGCTAAATTGATTAAAAGGTCGAAGAATACACTGATCAAATGTAATGAGTTTTCAAATGAATTCCGTCCTGTATTGATAGCTTATTAAATGCTTTCCAGAGATAGGATAGAGGAACATGGGGGTTGGAAAACCCTGAGCCTAAACTAATTGCAAGCAATAATTTGTCACTCAAGGGAATCAATCGTGCATGAAATCGCTGTGGTTCTCGGATACTAAGCAATTTCCTTTAACTTTGCATTACTACCTTGTGCGCTAGATTTATTAAATTGAAAATTTAAAGAACGGTCTACTCGAACAGTACACAAGATCTCAAACTATAATAAAAAATAAATACTTTTTGGTACCCCAACTGCAATAAAATAATAAATATTTATGAAGCGATTATAGTAAATTATAAACTTTCTGTAAACCTTAATAAAATTAGGTAAAAGATGGTATCCTCGTCAGAGTGGAATCCTTTAGACAGACTTAACTGATAACCAAACGAATGTATTTTAAAAGTAGAATTAACTTCGTTACAAGTGCACAATACATTTCCTTCTGAAAAATACCAGTTAGTCAGTCAGTAACAACGTAGAACTTCGTACGTACGTACATCAGTTCGAGTTGCCACACCACATTAGCACAGAGATCCAGTGGTCGATTCAAATCCCGTAGTGCTAGATGTAGTAAAATTATAAGCTGTAATCAGAAAAATTAGTGTTTGGAGATGTTATTCAAGGAGTATAATACAGTGAAATGAATTTGGAAAGAGAAAAAAAGAGACAAGGAGGATTAAGTAGATCAAAATTTGGGAGAACACAGAGTGTATGCACCTGCGCCATTGCAAACGATTTTGAGCTATGTCATTCAGGGTCTCTAACCATCGGTTGCTATCATCTCGCGGTCCCCAACCAGGTAGTCTACACCTACCAACATGACTCCGTCCACTTGTCAGTGACTTCATGGATTTGTGCCATGTTTTGGTCTGGTCACCCATAGCTTTCTTCCAATCTACTCCTATACCACTGAACATCGCACGTCGAGACAGTCGGTCGTTGGGCATACGTAACACATGTCCCAGCCATCTCAACTAATGAAGTTTCACTACGTCATCAATTGATTTGCCATCCTTACCTAGTAGAAGTTCAACCCCTGGAAATCTAGACGAGGAAAAATATTCGATAAATAATACCAAATATTGTGTAGGTGCAGAGAGAAATTAAATTGTCGGTGACTATTTACAAAATGTTAATTACTACAGATCTTAATTACAACTGTTCTTGAGTAGACAAGTGTAAGATATCTGACAAAGTGAATAAAATTTATTCAATGATAAGTTATCAAAAAAGTGATATTTTAACAACAAAACACATATAGCAAAGTAAACTAACCTCCATTAATTTTGTAATACTAGTTGATACATAAGTTGTTAACTCTTTAGTAGGCCATTTAGAACATATTAAAACTAGTTCTGCTGAATGTTCACCCCTTAAGAGTACATTTTTTCCCAATGCACCAACACGAACAACACCACAAAGTAGACGTTCACCAACTTTTTCTTCCAATTCATCCACATTATCATCATCATCACAAGATTTAGCACATATGGTGGTATCAGGAAGATCTGATGCTGAACGCGCCTGTTTTAAAAGGTCGTTACTAACGCCTTTCAAGGAGCGCTCACAAATCGTTACAGCCAACATCATTGCCTTAATGAAGAGAAGACAAACGTCACAAATTAACGTGGAATAAAAAGAGAGCTGCTCATACTAACGGGCTGCTTAGATTGATATGGATGAAGTGGACTAGGAACCTGTGACTCAGTTATAGGAAGTTTTCATTACCGAACTGTCGAGCTTCATAGCTCAACTGGTGGTGTAGTTCAGGGAAAATACGGAATCTTTGGAAAAGAAATAGTGCTTGATACATTTCTTCCGTTTCCAATTAAATTAAAAACTCTTATTTAGTAAAAATAAACGAATTCTAAATACGACATTGACCAATTAGTGATCAGTAATACACTACTAAGGTCGTATTTATGACCGAATGTTATCAGATTTTGAATGTGATTACTGAGGTAAACAACTAAAAACCATGTAATACTGTATTTGGTGGTTAAGAACAAATAACAGGAAGCTAAGTTTGAACAGCGCTTCAGCAATCGTCAAGAACGCCATTTCCTGTTAAAAAGGAAAGCCCACATAGTGATAACGTCTTCGATAGTGGAACTGGATGAGAGATCTTGGTTTCTAAAGTTTAAGTATGGTCTGCATATCAGTGTCAAGCAATATTATATATATATATATATATATATATATATATATATATATATATATATATATATATATATATATAAAATCAGTACACCGATAGAAAAAATATAAGAACATTTCAATGGACAGACCAGCAGAACTAAGAACTAATACACAAAAGTAGAAATAAATTTGGACAAAAGTTTCATAAAATTAATGTATCATATACAATGGTAGTTTATTAGTAAAAAAAAATAATTACCTGAACTTCCCAAGCTGTCGGTAGCAAAGATGTATGCTTAGAACTGACGTATCTGCTTTCTAGAGATTTATTAGGAGTTTGAGTCGTGTATATTCGAGGGACTTGTGCAGGAAAACGGTCATATGGGATCCCACTCATACAATTTCCTGTCATACTGCTATTACGCAAGGTACTGAAACTGGGGAAACTGCTAGTATTTTGTTTCTGAAAACGTATAAAATTAATGTAATAAATTGTCTTTAACTAAGGATGAATGAAGTAGTATAAACCAAGTTACCAAAAAGATGTTTTGGATCGCAAAATGTTTTTAACAAGACTCAGGGCGTAAAAGCTTAGTATCATTAACGTACGAACAGTTGGCTTTATTATCCAAGTAGTTTAAATATATGATCACTTTTGATAAATTGTAAGGGGATAATTATAAATACTTAAAGATAAGTGATTAATTGACTAGCTTTTACGAACGTGTGCTCAATTAATCTAGAACCACAACATTCATCCCCTTTGTGAATTATTTATTTGGTTGTCAACAATGCGTTTTTGTAATCCGATTAGTTAAAATCCATACAGCATAAATGGCTTTGACTTGATGTTGCCATTTGAACAGACATGGTTGTTTTGCTATTCTCCGTATAACGCTTAATTAGATTTTATGAAATTTCAAATATTAATGTGTTTTTTTAAACTATGATTAAAAATCATCAAAACAAAGCAATATGTATTTGTATGATATATAATTGGCAAATGTAAGGAATAGTTGTGAAACATTCTTTTTTATAAAGTATATCAAGTGACCAATATCTATTTCTGTGCAGTACTAACATTTGAATACGTAATATTATACTATTACAAAAGACTTATTGCGATTGATGAATTTCCTTCTTAAAATCACGGATTGATCTTATGTACAACTTTAATTATGATCAATCCGTGATGTAGTCTGTGAAACCCAAAGCTTTCCACAAATCTTCTGTAATAATAGTAATCATGTGCTCATCTAATGACTACTTTCAAGAGGTAATCTTCGGAGTTCTAGTAGAAAGCCGAGTCCAATAATGCCGGGAATGGAGTAGTTATCCATCGACCGCACTGGAAGATGGGGTTGGCAATATCGTGTACATACTAAAACTAAACATCTAAGCCATTGTGCGCCAGACCAGTGGTTTAAAGGTTGAGTGTTTACCGCGAGGTCCATGGATTCAATTTTTGGAGGGGTCGCAAATGTTTATTGGTGAGGAACCCCATTCTAAGATTAAATAGCTGTTCATGGTTTTTTGGTTCTCAATCGTCGTGAAGCTAAGATCAGTTAGTGATGCAAACTATGAAATAATATATTGAAAAGTAATGTTATAGAAGTAATTATGATTTATCAGTCAGAAAAATATACTAGTAAACTTTCGGAATATGAGAAGACAGTAAATACTAATGGTCTAGACAGAGTAAATATTGTTAGTAAGAGAAAACTATGAACCCACTGGTTCGTTACGTCTCGTCTTCTTTTCTTTAGCTGCTATGACTTTTCGACGAAGTTGATTTCCTGGATTTGGATCGACAATAAACGATGGATCGACTTTCTTTTTGTACTGTTGACGATGACGACGACCACGTAAATGACATTCACGAGAATCTGGATTTGAAAATTCACAATCACATAACTTGCAACGATATTTAACAGTTTTGTTGTTGCTATTAATAATCTGATTGGAGAGAAATTTTTTCGAAAAGGAGAGAAAAACGGTAAGTGAATTATGACTTAAAGGTTATATCTCAAGACCAATAAGATTCCAACAAACCCTTGACAACTTTACAGTCTGTAGAAATCTCAGTTTTGTATGTTAACATTTTACAATATCCTTTATCAAATTAGTCAGTTATACACTATCCAGATACCTGGCACACATGTGCATCCACTTAAATTGCCACACCGCAACCTCATTAGCACAACGAGATGAGCAAATTCCTGAGTAGTAGAGGTGTGGTGTGTGCTGCTTATGTCGACATAAGTAGAACAACGCTAATCAGAAGGTTGGGAAGATTGAATCGAAGAGAACGGGAACAGAGAGTGATTGTTGCGGCAATGAAGGAACGATGGAGTTTGAGACAATTGATGGAGGATTTGCAAATGTATTGAATGCATGGTTTTTATATTTTACGAAAGAACTCAGTAATTTTGTATTCTAATACATTTGGTTGTCTTCACTTATGTTCTCGTTCATTACAGAGGTAGTAACAGTATTAGTAGTAATAAAAAAGGATTGCGCATCGAGGATAAAATTCGAGGAAATATGGATTAGTGCAATAGTAAAAAAATTATATGGTAATTTAAAAATTTGGGATCTAAAGAGAGATAAAGAGTGAGTGAATCAGAGCGATCGAGAACGATTTTGAGCCATATCATTCAAACTCTCTAATAGGTTCAATTGTCTGACTCTATCTGGAATGATGAATAGAACGAGCGATATAATATAAATCTTCCACTTAACCCCGTCTGGGTGACAGCGGTGAGAAAAACCAAACACGAACTAAACATTCATTTGTGCAGACAAATGGTAAGAAGTGAAACATGAAAGAAGGCTTCTCAGACTACTTAATTAAAACATGGCTCAATATTTATAGCCATGAAAGATATAAACAACTATACAGATAGATATGTACAATCATACACACACGCTCAAGGTCGCATATATGAATGACTAGGAAGATTAGAATATTTTAACTGTTCAAAAGTAAGGATAAATCGTTCAGGAGTATAACAAAGCTAGTTGCTATACTCTAACCGCCAGTAACGATAATTATGCGGACCCCAACCAAATAGTCTGAACTTACCTACATGACTCAAGTTCAGTAATCACTGTCTTCATGGATCGATATCATGTATTGGTTTGGCCCCCCATAACTTCTTTTCAATCTACTCCAACATTGGTTGTCATCACATGTCGATACAGACGTTGGATGGGGACATACAAGTCAAATTAAGAATGTACTTTATGATGAAAGCAGCAGTTCTGTACGCGCATTCTGTATCAATCATGTCAACTGTTGAGGTTTGGTACTACCTTCGAGTGTTTTATTTTACTTAACTTTAAACTAGACATTCAGAAAACACGTAATTAAAAGCATAATAATGTATATTACATAAGCTCTTACAGTTTCTAAATACTCTTGTCCAACAGCAGGTAGTTCAGGACCAGCAAGTTGTTTTAAATCAATATGTTTCATAAACGTGTTTTCCGTAGGATTTGTTTTATTTTCATCCGTTTCAACTGTAGTAAAGATAAAAAATGTATTCTGTAGTAATGAATGATAAAGAATATCAAAACTTGCGGAAGCAACCCATTTAAAGTTAATCGTAGTAAAAACTGAAATTTATTTCAGCGGTACCAGAATATGAAAATGAAATCGACAATGATACACTGTTTCGTCTCATTTAATTAAAGTAAATAATCAACAATAATGAGTCAAGCAAAATCACGTTTCCTTCACACAGACAGAATAAGAACTCACCTCAAAAATGCTTTGTGAAATTTTTAACAAATATCTTAAACGAAGGTACAATTTAAGTTAAGCAATGACTAGTGAGCACTGTGAAGTAGCGGATTCAAAGAAATGGGGAAAAAATAAAACCGTAAACAACCTGCGAAAATCTAAAAATCCTCACCTGGTTTAGCATCGTCAACGGCAGTGGCAATCATATCTGCCACAATAGCTGGTACAAGGGGATCATCAGTTTCTGGAATTGGTTTCCCCAATTCCTTGTGTAACTTGAGCGTACGTTGATGCTGTCTACCAGATAAATGGGCAGTATAAGAGTCGGCACCGGTGCAACCAACATCACAAAGCTCACAACGTAATTCTCGTGAAGCTGAGTTAATAATTAATGATGAACTTCCATCGGTAGAGACTTCCTGTTTTAATTTTTCAATCGCTTCAACCTAACAGTGAAAAATGATAAAAATAAGAAAACGACTCATGTTAAAATGATATTAAATCAACTATTCATAGGAAGACAACGAATTGAGACCTAACAGTTAGTTAATGTTTTAAATTTGGCAGTTGGGAATACTAGCTTCAATTCATGCACATGGATATTGTAATTCCGTTATTGACTAACGCGATTAAAGTCGATGATTATATACGAGGATAAGCGACATATATTTCAACAACAATCATCATTACGATCTACATGGAGTCAGATACGCGGGCCACTAAACTGGTGAGCCCTTTCGACCACATCGTTCGATCTAAATGACGGGCCCCCACTAAATTGGTAAGCCCGCCGACGACGAACAAATTCAGCAAAGCCAGCGCAATCTCCAATCCGACGCAATTAGAAAAGCCTGTGCAACATGACATGGACATGCTCAAGTCGTATTATCTTATCGATACTTTGTCCTCATGTCAACTATTCTCATTGATCCATTTGTCGGATCGTTCCATTACGATTCAAATTATCATTATATGCTTATTATTACATTATTGTCAATATCATGACCGAATGTGGATTTATTAATCTTGTTCGTGCTGTCATTAAATTATGACATTTTCGCAATCATATCACCCACCGAACAAATTATCATTTTATGAACATTCCATGTTATGACATTCAGAACCCATTGGGATATTTTTACTATTTAAAAACGTGAAATTTTCCTGCTTTAAGTGAGTTCGTTCCATTTTTTCCCATGTCATTTTGATCTAATATTACATTCATTCACTTAGTCGAGGTCATTATTTTATGTCATCACAACATACATTTTTCATTTCAAAATCGCCTCCTATTATGTCTGTGGATGCCTCTAACATGCTGATTAGTAACAATTACGTTCATCTTATCTCCTCGTCCACATGTATAACCACATGCTGCATCATTCATCACCCAAGTACATTCAAGTAATGCAACTATTATTCTATTCCCATCGCACTGTATATCAAAACATAGAGTTTAGAGCTGGTCTCTCAAAGATACACTCTTGTTCGCCACATTCAAGTCAGTCTCATACGTCGCCATCGCTAATCATATGTATTGGTATTTTTGTCATGCCTCGGTACGGTTTTGTAACAAACGAGGTCGACCGCATCTACCTCAAACCACTCAAGGCTTCACGACCAAAAAGGAATACGACTCTACGTACCTCGTCCACTCAGTCACTATTCTGTTCCTCTGGTTATTCTACTAATACATATTTAACGATAACTTAATGCATCTGTTATAACGCAGACGACAACGTTCACTGACTTCACAATTTATGATCATTATCAATTGCAGTACAGCAACGAATATCACCCGTCGATGCAGTTATCATATCACGACTTGACTATTATTATCCTACGAACGGGAACTACGTATTTAAATTCGAATTCACTCATCGTTAGTCGATGCTATTTACTCTACTTCGGCTCAGGAGAACATATATTTAACATATTTCACTATTTTGTCGGCACCACAGACCAATTTTTGTCGTATTTTACTTTACTTATCTTCATGATTTGTTTCGCTGTCATACTGTTGGCGGGACATAGACTGGATTAAAGCATGCACAATGCATGATTGCTTTGGTGCACGCTGATTGGCCAATTCTTATCCAGCCAGCACTAGCCGATAGTTGGAGAATACTCTAGAATCTTCTCATGTAAAAACTATAAATATACTAACGTTTTCCCTATTGTGCTTACTACTTGCATCTTACTTCCATCTAACCTTGTTATTTGGAATATAATCTCTTTCCTGTTCAACCGTGTTCTGATTTGGGGTCTTGTCGAGTGATTTGGTGTCCAAGATTACTAAGCAATAGGAATAGCTGGGTCATACCGTAGAAAGAGATTACAACACATACCCACAAACAATTTATTACTATTTTCACGATATTTTGAATCACTCATACAAACTTGTTATTTTATCGTCCAGACAGTCATAGCATTAGTACATGTAAAGTTTTTGTACGCTCATTAATCTGCTCATATTCGCATGTTAACGTTTCCATTTTTGTCCGCGCCTTTGCGATATTCATGTATTCTTTTACATAAGTATGACATTTTCATAAAATACAATCGCCGCTCATGTGCCACTGTACTTTATCGAGTGTTGTACAATTTTTTTCGCTACTTATTGTTAACGTTAACTACACATCACTTAAGCGTTATTTTCGAAAACAGACATTTTTTAGATGTGCTATTTTCTACAAGGGGGCTATGTAGTGTCAGTTATTATGTCAAAGCCCACATACCTTATTCTAGCTTTCGGACATCCCATTCTATTCATTCTGCTTGAGTCGTATTTTGACCTTGTTAATTATTCGCTTATCAGTCTTGACAGAATAACGTGGTTTCCAAGTTATTTAACATCGCCACTAGTAGTTGATAAATTTCATGCAATTGGTTCCCTTTATGAATTTAAATAAAGCAAGAACAAATATTGGTGCAGAATAGTATGAATTCATATTATTTCGAGGTTTCTCGTCAGCTGCTTACAAACCAAAAATGTGATAGAATTTTTACATTGAGATAGAGTGAAAACAATTGACGTAGATGAGTGTAAATAACTGGATTACAATAATAACTATAAATGTATATATATGCTAGAACAGGTCAGAGGGTGGTGTAATAATGGAATTGAATAATCATAAGATAGGTTACGTAATAAAAATTAAATAGAATTTGAAAAGTTAAGATAGTTTAAGAGGATCAGGTGGTGGAAATGTGTGAATAATAATGTGGTTTAGGAATTATATAACAGGGGAGGAGTATAAATATTTTAAAATAAATAAATAAATAATAAAATTTAAAAAAAGGGTTACCAGGGTAGTGATAAGTTAAAGTCTCTTTTTGGATGCATAAGTCAGGTTTAAGTTTTTTTTATCATGATGGCTTCAGCAAAACGGAGGGTGGTCGTACTTCTTTGTCTATTGATAATTTTGAAAGCATGAGGAATGTCGATGGTGTGCCCGGTGTCAAGTAGATGTCGAGCTATTGCGCTGTTGAAGGCCTTATTCCCTCCCAGCCTCAAGTTTTTTGGAACATGCTCAGAAATGCGGACATGCACTCTTCTCTCAGTTCTTCCAATGTATGTGCTTTGGCACGTACATGTGAATTGGTAGATGCAGTTGGAGCTACTAAGAAAAGAGGACTTGTCGATTTTGGTTTGTTGAAGTGAGCAGTTCGTTTGCCATACTGTCATAAGTTTTGCTGCTGGGTAGGTGACTTTCAACGCAGAGTTTATTCTGTGATTAATTATTCCAGCAATTTCATCACCTTTGAAACGTAAGTGTAAGAAGCAGGTTTTCCTTTCTACTCCATCGTATTTTGTACGAGGATTGGTGTTTGCATATTTCTGGATAAATTTCAATGGGTATTCATTATCACGTAGAACATTAGTAATCAGATTAATTTCATCATCAAGGTATTCTTTTGAACAGATTTTTTGAGCGCGGTCAGAAAGGGTTCGTACAATACCCTTTTTGTAACTCATTGGGCAGAAACTGTGGTAATTGAGATATAGACCACTCCAGGTATTTTTATGGTGAATATGTCTATGTAATTTACCATCAGATGTTCGTCGGATCCCAACATCAAGGAAATGGAATCTGTCTTCAGCTTCTTGTTCCATAGTAAACTCTATATCCTCGTGTGCTTTATTAAATAGATCGAGTAGCTTAATGGCGTGTTCGTGATTGTTGCAGACGAGGAATGTGTCATCAATATATCTGCAATACAGCGTAGTAGCATCGATTGCATGCTTAAGCTTTTTTTGTTCTAGGTTTCCCATAAATATATCGGCAAGAATTGGGCCCAATGGGCTACCCATGGCAACTCCATCGATTTGGCGGTAAAAGACATTATTGAATTGAAATTGTATGTTTTTGTACACAAAAAGAGGAGCTGTTTAAAATCATGAATTGGTAGGGGTAGAAGTTCAGGATAATCACATATGATCTTTATCGTTTCTTCCAAGGGGATGTTTGTGAAGAGCGATGAGACGTCAAATGAAACCATAAATTTGTCGAAAACATTTAAGTTGTCGAGTTTTTGTACAAATTCGAAACTATTTTTTAGACTGTAAGGTGTTAGTTTCTTTCGGATTGGTTCAAGGCACTTTGTCAGCCAGCGGGCGAGTTTATGGAAAGGCGAATTAGCCATGGATAATATTGGTCTAATCGGGATATTGGGCTTCTGAGTTTTGGGTAGGCCGTATAAGTACGGTAATTGTGATCTTTTAGGTTTAAGTTCATTGTATGTATGATTACCTATTAGATTTTTCTTTATATCTCTCAAAATCGTTTGCAATGGCGCAGGTGCATACACTCTTTGTGTTCTCCCAAATTTTGATCTACTTATTCCACCTTGTCTCTTTTTTTTCTCTTTCCAAATTTATTTCACTGTACTATACTCTTTAAATAACATCTCCAAACACTAATTTTCCTGATTGCTGCTTATACTCTTATTATCTCTACCACTACGGGATTTGAATCGGCCACTACATCTCTGTGCTAATGTGGTGTGACAACTTGAACTGATGTACGTACGTACGAACTTCTACGTTGTTACTGACTGACTGACTCTCAACTTATTTACAAGTCGCTTCTCTGTCCTCTCTGTTAAATCTTTCTGGGTATTATCGATGATAAATCTAGTGGAATCAATCAAAGTAGACATTATTTTGCTAATGTATTCATCTCTGTTAATAACGACTACACCGGAACCCTTATCTGGACGAAGTAGCATTATTGTTTCATCTTTCACAAGTTTTTTCAAAGCTAGTTGGTGATCTTTAGTTTATAAGACTGTTAGGAATGTTAATTATTATATTCTAGATAGGTCAAATTATGGTTTTCAAGATTACTCCTGTAATACGGAACATGTGAAGGTAAATGCAAAAGACATATTCAATTAAAATGATGACAATAAATCTTGAAGCTTGTAAAGAACTACTTGATATGAATGATAGCTTACAATCACCTATGTTTAATTGCATTAAGAAAGCAATTTAATTAAAAACAATGAATAAGTTAGACAGTAATTGTAGGACAAACTTACTTGGGACAATCTTTTTTTGTGGCGTTGACCAGATTCATGGTCTTTGAAGGCTAGTGGACCTGCACAACTAACTTTGCAAATATCGCAGTAAAAAATGGATGGTTCTTTTGTAGTTGTCGTCGTACCGGCAGTATTAGCGGTGTGAGTACCTTGGTTGGGGCGATTTCGAAGACCTATTAAAAACAATATCAAAATCATATTTCTATCTTGTCAAAATAGAATTCAACATGATTTGTGTAAACAATGAATGCAACTGACGATCTGTGAAGGTTAGTTATTCTACACTACTTGTTACTGATGGAGTTTTTTTCACTGAGCTGGATGGTTCGGCCATGTTATAACACAGGATCATACATAAAAGGTATATCAGAAACCACAACGAGACTGCTGAGAATCTTCGGAACAGGTGTTGCACACAAACCAACAAAACCACTACAATCAATCCTATGCAAACGAAAGGATAAAATATGAAAAAATAAGACAAACCAAACATCATCTACAAAATGTGCCAGCTGCGAAAAAAAACACGACCAAACCATCCAGCTCGGAGAACAAAACTCCATCGAAATCATCCACCTGAGCTACAAATCTTTTCCACCACTACTTGTCTTAAAATTTGATGTTATTTCTCAGCCTACAATTATTTCATCCATAGAATGTTAAGCCACAAAATATCACAAAATTATGTGGTAATTAGGTTAATGAGGATGCTCTAAACATCCAAAGCCATTGCACTCCTCAACGTTAAACAAATTCAAGATAAAACACTAGACTTTAGTCTATTCAAATCCGATTATTATTTACGCATAAAATCTTACTTCCTCTATTTCCCTTGAAAGGACCAGGAGTTCTAACACGCCCACGATTTTGAAACGTAGAGTTCTCAGGAGTTCTATTGTAATGAACTGGAATCCCAGTATATACCGACTGGGGTGTTGGATTAGGTTGTGAAGTGTATTTTTGAATATCAGTGTAGAAGTTACTAGCTGAGGAATTTAAGGTCATCCAGCTAGGAATCTCGGGAGGAACACGGAAACTAAACTGATTCTGATAGTCAACGACTACGTTGCTATTTTCATTGATTTCAGAGGTTATTGGTAGTTGTTCTGAAAAATTAACACAAGTTTCTTCTGTGGAAGGCATTATCCCAGGTCTGCTGTAATACTGGGATGGACAAAGCGAATATCCACTGTCACTCCGAAGAGGGGGTGTAGACTGAAAATCTTGAGGTGGAACTTCAAAACTATAAGGCCTGGGTCCAGGTCTTTGAACAGCATTTCCTACAAAGTTGAAAAGAATAAAGTTTCACGTAGTCTCAGTATTAACCTAAGAAACAAAAGCTATGTAATCAATATCACAAAGCCACAAAACCAAATACTGTTTGTCGTGAATATATAACAAACAATCAGACAGTGTGGGTAATCATTTTAACCGAATGAAGAACTCGTACCAATTTGCTGATTAATACACTACGTTAGAAAGCTAAATAGTGAGACATAATTAAGCCAAAAGACAGAAAAGGTGAGCTGAGTGGTGGTAAGTACGTTGATAAATGTGTATCAATGCCTACTAAACTACTATACTAGGTAATAAAACGTTTGATCTGAAATATTTTTCTCCCTACGGCATACTACGATAATGCAGTAATGCGATAAGGCTGGTGTTCGAATATATACTACCGCTTGACTAGATATCTGATCGATACGCTATGCACAGGCTAGGTTGTCAGAGACACGATTCACGACCAAAAATAGAGAAAAATAATGCTAGATAATACTTTATTCAACACAAGTCACTCTCAGTGAGTCCGGGGTAGAAATCAATAACAGGAAAGGAAGTCATATTTTTTAGTTAGTAAGCCGTGCCTACTTGGTTTAATTTATTTATTCTGGTTAGCGTTTTTGGCATCGAAGCAGCACCTACAGATCTTCCTACAGATGTCACTCCACCAGCGATCGAACAAACAAGGATGGCCATCAGACAAATCAAGAGTGGGAAACTAAGAGGACCTGACAATATACCATCTAAAGCACCGAAATCAGAAACAAAAGTGAATGCAAACATGCCTCACGTTCTACTCAGAAAGATCTGGGAGCACGAATAAGTACTGACAAACTGGAAAGAAGGATCTTATCAAACGCCCAAGGTCAAAGTGGACAACACTGAATATGAAGATATCAACAGGCCGGATTCCGTAAGAATCGGTCGTGCACAAACCAAATAGCGACATTATGGATCATTGTTGAACAATCAATCGAATTTGTGGATATCATTATCAAGGTTTGACTTTATAAGTTCCAATAAATTGAGCATTGGGAAGATTTTTATCAATAAAAATATCATATTTGTAATACCCCAATCAGATATTACGAATATATTATTCTTATTAATAATCAATTGAATGGAATTCATCACTGTATATCAACTTCTTTGACTATGAAAAGGCGTTTGACAGAGTGGGTAGGTGAACCTTATGGAACATTCGTCGACACTGATGTGCCTGAGAAGATCGTCAATATCATACGGCATTCATACGACGGACTATATTGCAAAGTCGTGCATGGAGGACAGCTGACAGACGCATTCTGAGTAGGGGTCGGAGTCAGACAAGGCGGCTTACTGTCTCCCTTTCTTCTGGTGGTTGACTGGATTATGAAGACCTCTATGTCTGAGGAATACAATGAACAGCTTACATACAACTAGACGAGTTGGACTTCTCAGATTACCTGACTTTTCTATCCCATACACATGAGCGAATGCAGGTCAAGACAACCAGTTTAGCAGAAGCCTTTGCAGCAGTAGACCTCAACATACACAAGGGAAAAAACAACATCCTCAAATACAACATGGAGAGCACCAACCCAATCATACTTCATGGAAAAGCCCTGGAACAGGTGAAAGAGTTCACGTACCTAGTCAGAACCATCGATGAACAATGAGGATCGGATGCAGATGTAAAGGCGAGGTTTAGCAGAGCAAGGGCGGCATTTCTACAGTTGAACAACATACAGAACTCAAAACAACCGTCAACCAATATCAAAGTCTGAATCTTCGATACGAACGTCAAGATAGTTCTGCTGTATGGAGCCAAAACTTCGAGAACTACCACAACATCATAAAAAAGGTGCAATTATTTATAAACAACTGTCTGCACAAGATACTGAATGTCCGTTGACCGGATACCAATCAGTAACAGCCTATTGTGGGAGAAAACAAACCAACTTCCATCTGAAGAGGGAATTATGGAAGAACAATAGGAGTGGTGGATAGGATACACATTGTGGAAATCATCAGACTGCATCACGAAGCAAGCTCTAACTTGTAATCCTGATGGGAACCAGGAAAGAGGAAGGTCAAAGAACACGCTGAGACGAGAATTGTAAGCAGACATCAAAGGATGAATAGCAACTGAAAATGATTGCTCGGGACAGAGTTCAATGGAGAATGCTGGTGGGTGGACTATACTCCTCCATGAAATGTAACGGACTTAATAAGTACCATTGTGAAGTCACGGTACACCATCATATTTCGCCTTCTTCATCTGGTAGTCACACAGGTGAATCATCGTTGCCTGATTGAAAAACACCACTGATGGAAATTTCTAAAATATATCAGCGTCTGTTAAACCTTTCCATCTAATATCCTAAATGTCATTAGAAATTGTCACTAAATGTCTTGTTACTCAGTTTGAACGCTAAACTCTCCTCCAATGCTTTAAGTCGATTTATGGTTTTGACTCTCCTTTTGATCATGGGCACATTTAGTTCAACACATAAATATTGGTACAAGAGGGCACCAAATATATATGCGCTACACAAACCTCATTTGATACGTGTGGGGGCTCTGATACTACCCGGGTGCCCGAACCGAAGCAAGTGGTTTTCTTGGGGGGCCACACCCCGAGCCTTTGACCTAAAGGTCTAACCCACAAGGAAGTGGAGCATCGTGAGAAGATGCAGTCTCATGGTAGCCGGTGACCAACAATTGGTTCATACGCCATTTGTTCCCGTAGGATACTGGAGCCCATGTGCACCATTGGTTTGGGATCCGGTTAAAGCGCCGGACATTCGCTTTTCATCCTCTCATTTTCGTAGACAACACCCCCGCCACGAGAAGGCAGTGAGTAGGACTCCCCTGGCAGAGACTGTATACGCTTGGCCGTGTGAGAGCATTTCGAGAGGGCGGGCCCACCCCACTCTCGGCCATACCAGGGCATTTGGGGCGTAAGTAATTGTGCCTACTTGTTTACGCTCAATGACTAACCACATCTTATCCTCACTACCACACATTAGTATTACAAATTTGAATAATCCAAAAATCCGTTATCCAACCCTGTGACATCAGGGATAGTTACGTTTAGAACATTCCTAACTGAAGCACATTTTCTTTAAAGTGATATATGATGAATGTGAAAATAAAGACTACATAATACGAATGAACTAACAGGACTGGAACTGGTTGCTAAACGACTAAGGCCCGGACGTTTTATTTTGCTGTTTATAACATTGCGGCCACCAGATTCATATTTCCATGGGCAAGCGTTACCAATGATTAGCACAATGCCATCATAGTCCTGCTCCTGTTACAATTCTATCTCAAAGTTGGTAGTAACTAAGCGTACAAGATCGTAACAACAATTTCTACATCAGTTTTCACTGATTTTGAAACAATAATAAGGCTGTTAAGCTACGAACAATCAAAAGCTTGTAGTCTTTAAATTGTCAAACCTTAAAAGTAGTCTCATGAGCGTGTTGAGAATATACAACAAAGAGGTTAGTGAGTCGCAACGTAAGACAAAGCACGTGTATCGACCCAAGTTAGTCAGTCAATAACAACGTAGAACTTCGTACGTACGTACATCAGTTCAAGTTGTCACACCACATTAGCACAGAGATGTAGTGGCCGATTCAAATCCCGTAGTGGTAGAGATAATAAGAGTATAAGCAGCAATCAGGAAAATTAGTGTTTGGAGATGTTATTTAAAGAGTATAGTACAGTGAAATAAATTTGGAAAGAGAAAAAAAAGAGACAAGGAGGATTAAGTAGATCAAAATTTGGGAGAACACAGAGTGTATGCACCTGCGCCATTGCAAACGATTTTGAGCTATGTCATTCAGGGTCTCTAACCATCGGTTGCTATCATCTCGCGGTCCCCAACCAGGTAGTCTACACCTAACAACATGACTCCGTCCACGTTTCAGTGACTTCATGGATTTGTGCCATGTTTTGATCTGGCCTCCCCTAGCTTTCCTCCAATCTACTCCTACACTACTGAACATCACTCGTCGAGGCAGTCGGTCGTTGGGCATACGTAAAACGTGTCCCAGCCATCTCTATTGATGAAGTTTCACTACATCATCAATTGATTTGCCATCCTTACCTAGTACCCGTTTCCTAACAACTGTGTTACTTACTCGATGGTCCCAGGATATACGAGCAATGTTTCGAAGACACCTATGATCAAATACTAGTAACCTACGAATATCCTCTACTCTTACCGGCCATGTTTCACTGTCATAAAATAGGACGGAACGAACTGCTGCACAGTAAACTAGTCCTTTGGTTGATAGACGGATATCTCGCGTACGCCATAAATGACGCAATTTGGTAAAACCTAGTCGAGCTTTCTGTATCCGTGCTGAGATTTCGTCACACACCAGACCACAAGGGCTGATGAGACTTCCAAGATAAATGAAGCGGTCGACACGCTCAACTACTTCACTCCCTATCATTAGTTCGGGTGTCAATGCAACCCAATCCTGAAGCAACATTTTACATTTCGAGGGGGAGAATCGCATCCCGAACATGCTTGCATTGTTGCTTAGAGTGGTCAGAAGACTGCATTTTATCAGCGTCTTCACCAAACAAAACTGTCATCAGCATATTCTAAGTCAGCAAGTAAACCTCCCGGTAGAAGTTCAACCCCTGGAAATTTAGACGAGGAAAGTGTTATCTCTAAAAGTACGTCGACGACAAAGTTGAACAAGAATGGAGAGAGTGGGCAACCCTGACGAACACCACTCTCAAGTTACTACACTTCATACGAGCACATCTAGAGGAAACTAATAAAATCCGAGTCAAAATATTACTGATTACAAGAAAATAAAAATATGAAATATAATTTAAACGTAAACAAAATTACGAGGTGGCTCTATATTTAAAATATCTTGCGTAAGCATCAATCTTAAATGGATATTCTCTGGTTGAGCGGTTAGTTAATTATTTCATTTTACAGACAACCTACAGATGTGCTTAGAGATCCTAACACCGGTCAAAGTAAAACACAATTACTTATGCATCATACAAAACCAAAGAATATTCTTACCAAATGAATTCATATCACTCGTATAAAAGGTAGGTGGTGGTTGGACAGTATACTGATGACCAAACTGATTCATAGTAGACTGAAAAAGAAAATTTATGACTAAACGTAATAATAAATTCCTGTTATTCGAAAAAAAACCTTTCGGTTATTAAAAACTAAGAATTGAGAAAAGCAGACTATCAATTTGAAACACGAATTATCACCAATGCTAAGGAAGCGTGAAATGTATGCAGCTTTAGTACAACTGCTTCGCTCAATATATAAAATTGCCAGTCAAATATAAATCATTTATGGTATACATACTTTCGTATTCGGACATGGACCATGCCGTTTGTATGAGGACTAATGGTACTACTCAACAGGCCAAACAAAAAATAGATAGCAGCGTCCGGACCTGGGACATACCAGCTGAAGCTGAGTGCTGTAGTCAAAGAGACTGCCACGTTAGTTCTGGCTTGTTCAATTAGTCAAGAAGTAAACTTTGTGGTATATATATATATATATACATATATATATATATATATATATATATATATATATATATATATATATATATATATATATATATATATGTTCAAGGAGTTCAACTTTTAACCACTTAGTCCTAGATTTGAATGTCACTGGTTTGGGCAATCCAGTAGTATTATTACTGTCACTGCTACCAAAAAAACCTAGCAAATGAGTTGGTTGGTAAAAATGACTGAGATCAGAATCCTCACGGTTAACCAAGAAAATTTCGGTACGCTGGAGAAACGAGAAATATACCATACAAAGTAGAAATGCCAACACTGGGGAGAAGCGGAGTTTGAATAGTAATAATAATAAAAGTAATTATTAAGAGACGAGTTGATCAAGAAACAAAAACTGAGGAAGATCTTGCTCAGTAAGGAAAACAGATGGGTATGATAGAAAACTAGAACGATTACCACTGGCCTTTACTTTCAGTTGTACCTGACAAAATGAGCTATATACTTTTTAAGACTCCGTTCAGAGGACCGTGACTAACCAACGTCAGCCCTGTACAGTTATACCACATTTCCTTGCCCCATGTCATAAACTGACCCAGTGTCAGTACTGGTTAATAATGTGGCGCACAGCAGCTGAGACACCAATAAAAAAAACATGTTTAAGACACCGAAACAGGTGTTTCAGGGTGGTTGGAATGATTGAGATTGTTGTGCAAACATGAGCATTGCTCACAGTGGTCTCATCTGGTGTGAACAATCCTTTAGGAAAGATGATTGAAGTCAGTCATAATCAATCTACAGCATGGTCAAAACGATGGGTCAGTTCAAGTGAATCTAAGTACATTAACATAGCGAGGGGGACACGGAAAGGCACATAACATTTTTAAATAGGAAAGACCATAGTTTAAAGGGACAAAGAACTTCCCCAAATACCTCAGTATTTCTGACACGTTCCATATGGCCGTAGTCCAAAATTGAATTGTACTAGATTTCTTCATGGGTTAAAATGGTTAATAAATGTCATTTATGAACGGTCAGTAGTTACTCATGCTTGTGATATTTCATTCAAGAGGACCAGAGCAGCACGTGACACTGACTGAAATACGACTGACTAGCAGTTAAAACGCAACTTGGAACTACTCACTCACATATTTGAACGGTGCCCTAACTACTTCGGCCTGGGGAGATACTAAGTGACATAAGCCGTCAAGTGTAGTTTTCGCCTGATTATGCAATCATTTTAGTAAATGATCCGAGTCACTAACTATTCACGGAAGTCATCAACTGGCAGTCTGAGTTACGAGCTCTATGGAATCTTGAGAATACGTAAAACCACAACTTCCTCAATAGGTCTTCTATGATCGAAAATTCTTGAACTATTTTACTCACCGGGTGTTATTACTAGACCAAGACTTTGGGAGAAAAATATATCTTAAAGGTACAAGCGAAATGAATCATTTATTTATATATAGACTAAAATGATGACATATCAAAGTGGATGTAAGCAGAGTAGCTAGAATGATTCGTCTTGTTTTCCGAAATTATTTTGAGGCGATCCAGGCGAAACTGATAAGGCTATCTTAGCAAACGTCATATACAATGAATCTGTTGAATGATTCGCATTTGTCCTCACTACGACAGGAACCGTTTGGATAAAACGGTTATCAAGAAGGTAATACCAAATGTTAACTGTTAGAGATAGCACTTTGTAGCCGAGGTATCAGTATCACACGAATAATTGCCAACCCCTTGAAAATGTAACTTAAAGAAATTTCAATGTCATGTATTGCATAGGAACACATCAACAAACCAAACGAACGAAAGTACAAACCCGCTGAAAAAACCCAAAGCGCTGTTTGGTAATCAGGGAGAAATCTTATAACAAGCCTGTTCAATTTTCAATTGGTTCAAGTTTGTACATTGAGAACGAGAGGTCGACTCCATGTTGGTCCTTCTATAGTGAGATTCTTATGATGTTTTGTCTCTCTTCTTGAATGAATCAATAAAGGTTGGACATTGTTTCTGTTGGAAGTATGTATAAGAACTTTCGTCTACAATTGAAAGAATAGCTTCTCAGTATTTGGTAGCCGAGTTAATGTAATTTACCTTATATTTATCATGACCGAACAAACTCCGAAATTATTTAGGATTGAGACTTCTTCGCCACCCTCAATTCAGCTGCTGCAATTTTCGCCTGACAACAGATATGTTGTTACGTGAGGACATTGTTCAATGGACCTTTGGCAAGGGCATGTTTGAACAACTTTTTTGTTTAAGTTTCACCAACAGGTGCATGCAGTGTTTGTCTCATTTCAAAACAATGCTGTAGACGAACTAACTGCATCTGTCGGCCGAATTCTGGAGATCAGAGGAACTCCCTGCACCATGGTCTATTCAGCCAAAGAAAAACCTCAAACAGAACGAAATGACGTTACAGAGTTCTGTACTAATCTGACAGGTTACCTTAATATTCGTAATGACCGTAGACACTCCCAAACTCCTCAGAGTTCTTCACGAAAACGATCTGTCTCTAGGTCACAGACAACCCTGATTGGTGCTGGCATCGCACGCAGTCCAGAAAATCTCAGAAGTGTAGAAAACCCTGTAGTTTCCTGAACCGAAAACCGACTAACGCGAAAAATGCTTCAGGAAATTACCCACCCGGTACGTGTTAACGGCAGTCGTAGCCGGCAAACATAACCGTCTGTTTACACATCACTGGTGTGATTAAGAAAGCTCGCAACCTCGTCGGTACTGGTCGGGAAGTTAGCATTCTTCCAGCGAATTCTGAATACCGACTGCACAAAGTGGCTTCCGACTTACAAGCTGCGAATGGGAAATCGACTGCCACATACGGTAAGCGATATGTGTACCTTAACGTGGATTTACGCAAACCCATCCACTGGATCATCGTTGTTGCAGATGTTTCAATGCTAATCATTGGTATAGACTTGATACAAGCTTACAATTTACTCAACGAGACGGGCAAACGGAGATTTATTGACAGAAATACTAATTCATCTGTTGTTGTGACTTTTCCGGTTGTATATTTTTCCCAGTCACATTAAAGCACATGATCGATCCATACTATTAACAAATACCTGATAAGTACCAAACGTAGGCGAAATTGCCATGTGTAACCAGCAATGTTACACGTCACATCAAGACCACAAGACCACCTGTATTCTAGAAAGCGCACCGACTAGTTCCTGAAAAACCGAGGTTGTCTAAAAACGCATTAGACCATATCACTGACGCAGGGATCATTCGGCTATCGAACAGCCTATAGTCATCTCACTTGCACATGGACCCTAAAAAGAACATCATCGACTGGCGTTCAACTGGTGACTATGCGAAGACCATTTTTGATCACCTGTTGCCTCACATTCACGATTTGACGGCGACCTTGATAGGAGCATTCGTTTTTTCGAAAGTCAACTTAGTTAAAGAATATAACCTAATTCCCATGGCCGCTGATAACATTCGTAAAGTCACTTCCATCTATGAAGTTTCGAAGATGCCTTTCGGTTAAGAAATGCTGCAAAACATTTCTGAGATTCACCGATGACGTTTTTGAAGGTCTCTGCTTCGTACATGCGTTTGGAATTTCACGACTACAAAACACAGCAGTACAGTAAACGTTTTAAAATGTCAAAACAGCACTGACTTTAGATTTTCATGGACACACTGTTGATGCTCAAGGCATTCGACCTCTAAAACGGAAAGCGGTGACCATTCCGTGTTACCCAGAATCAACCACAATCAAGCAAATATGCACGTTCAACCACCTAGTGAGTTTCTATAGACGGTTCATACCAAATTGAGCGTCTCTTATGAAACCTTTAATCGACCAACTTCGTGGAAATGCGCGGTCCATCAATTGGGATGATATTGCAAAAAAGCATTCTCCACCGTTCAAGAACTTATCGCCAAAGCAAAGAGTCTTACAAGAATGCGGAAACAACAACTGACAACCTTGAGCATTCTTTTCGAAACGGCTGCTAGACAGCGAACTGAACAATAGCACTTTCCACAGGGAAATCCTAGCCATGTTTTGTGTTGTATGCCACTTTTAACATTCTCTTAAAGCCCGAGAATTCAATTTTTCCACCGTTCACAAACCCCTTTCGTTCTGTTAAGGCTCACCTTCAAATAAGTGATCTCCTCGAGAGTTTCAAAAACTGGACTACATTTAACAGCATACTTCAGATATTCAACACATTTCTGAGGCAAACAATATAATTGCAGACACCCTGTTTCGCATAACAGTTTCCAAGGGATCGACGTTCTTAAACTCGCTCAGCTTCAAAAAGAAGACACTGATCTTCAGCACGAGTTATCGTCTACAACACTCAAGCCATGCATCAAACAGATGGGAACAGGTAAGGAAACCTTACTTTGTGACACATCTACAGGTAGGGATCGCCCAATCGTGCCGAAACATTATCGACGCAATGTCTTCAACACATTGCACAAACTTTCTCATCCAGGTGTTCGTGCAACCATCAAGCTTATAGCAGAACGTTTTTGCTGGCCTGGAATGAATAAAGACGTGAGGGAGTGGGCACGCTCCTGTGTGGGCTGCCAAAAATCTAAGGTCATCAGACACAATAAATGCCC